TAAATTTTTATATGTATTATATTCAAATACATATATTTTTTTCTCTTACTCATATTATCATATTATCATACTCATATTATCAAGAATGAGAAAGAGAGAGAGAGAGATCAATATTTTTTTTTATTAAAATTATCAAACATGCTACATATCTTTGTAAAATATGAACTTTGCACCATAAAATATCATACTAATATAATATTTCAGGTATTTTCTTTTTTTCCTGAAATTTTTATGTACCAAATTTTATTTGATAGCAATACAAACTTTCGCGTGAATTTTATTGACGAATGTAAAGAGAGAATACTTACTGCTACATAGATTATATATGATTTTAATATAATAATTATACGTATGATTTTTATTTACGCTATGATTTACGTATAATATTATATACGCTACATTAAATATATAGCGTAATTCAGAAATATATGTGTAAATATTATTTTTAATGACTTATTATTATAACTTTTATTTATTATTATAACTTTTGTTATAATTATTATTATAACTTTTAGTTATTATTATAACTTTTGTTACATTTTTTATTAAAAAAATAAGTTTTTTAAAACAGTTTTCTTTCTTTCAAGATTCTTGTATTAGTTGTCAAATTAAAATTTTGATAAAGTGAATTCTTTGAAATTAAATTGAAAATATATTTTGGTTATGATATATTTACGCTTCTGAAGTATAATTAAATGAGTGACTAATTACAAGTGTCATTCATAGCAAGTGTGCACAATCGTAACTTTTTATTCAAGTAAAAAATAAATATAGTTCTCGGTCACTGTATTAAGATATTTGCTAACATTTGCTAACATTTATAACTTGATTTTTTTTTAATTTATTGTTCAATCATTTAGTCCAAGATTTTTGCTTCAATTTTTTGAGAACTTATAAGTTATCGACAAACGTACAGATATATTTATAAAGCTCTTATACTATTCCTTGATGCATCGTTATCTTTCATATTTATCGCAATTTCAATAATCTTCCTTCCTTGTGATTCCATGAATGATGCGATTTATCACCATGAAAGTAATCGATTGATGTTTTATCGGCAATAATGCACGTTATTTCCTGTCTGTTAAAAATATATAATAGTCATTATCCAATAGTCTCTTATTTCCGTTTCTACCAATGTAGATTAACTTTAATTAATTTACTTTAATTAATTTACTCTTTATTCTTCTTTAATTCTTAGAACTAAGAAAAATTTACTAACGACTGAAGAATTAAACCAAGATTGTTTTATTTAACAGGAAATAGCATGCATTACTACCAAAAAGATCAATCGATTACTTTCCATATCATTCGCAGAATCACAAAGTGGAAGGAAGATTATTGAAATTGCAATCAATACGAAAAATAGCGATATCAGGAACATCACAAGATAGCAGAATTTGAGACAAGTTTATGGCTTGCATAAATTCTAATCGATGATACTTGAAAAAAAGTGATGCTTGAAAAAGATTGGGCTGACCGATTCACGTATCGTATATTGTCTATGCAAACTAGTTACAATGTAACTGTTTGCAGTTTCGCAATTTACATATCAGTTTTATCAATAAATAAATAGAAGCTATTTATATCGAAAAGGTTATTTTATTGATTATTACTATAACTATAATACAGTAAATTAAGGAATTTGCAATTTGGATTGTCACTGACTTGTCAAGATATCAAA